TCTCAAAAACTCAATAGTTTTCTTTCAAAACTATCTCACAATTTTGCAATTTCAGACACGTTCAAACCCATTTTCTCAAAAACGGCTCCAAACTTTTTCTTCAAACTTTTCGAAAGAATAGTGCTAATTGGAAGCTTTCATATTATAAAGTTCGTATCGGGTCATATATTGTTTTTTTCAAAAATTACACAAATGTACTTTTTTAAAGACCTCTCACACCGTTAATATGCACATTTCCAGCAATTAGTAAACACTATTGCATTTGTGAGTTATGTTCTTCAAATGAAGTTTTTCGAAAACAAACATTTTCTGTGAAAAAGAGCTTCAAATTTCGAATTTACAGTGTCACTTAAGCGCCATTTTCCTTAAAAATTCCAAATTTTTCAAGGAAAAATGCCATTTAGGACGAAATTTTATTGTTCTTTAATAATCTTAAAATAATATTTCCGTCCTGTTATTAAGAAATCGAAAAATTAAGAAAATTTAAAAAAAATGTTCTTTGGGGGCGATAGATGGCAGCAGGCAATAGAATGTGGTAATTCGAATAGCTAGGTGAGATCAAAGGAAATAGAACACTAATATGGGAAAGTGTGTGCCATTCTGAAGCACTAGTTCTTGTTTTGTCAACTGTGCGAAGGCGAATTTTCAGCTTCTTTTTTTATTTTATTCGCTAGACACACAGCGTCATGTGCGTCTGTAAGCATTCAGAAAAAGGATATTCATGTTTTCTATTCTAAATTAAACAATAAACGATTCAACGTAGTACATGTTAAACATATGATAAAATAAAGGAAACCACTATTAATAATTTAATAAAAAGGAGAACATTTAAAATACAAAGGAGGGCGAGAGGACAATTTACGTCAATGGAGGTCTATTCTCCAAAATGGAGGACCCTACCTAAAACTGTATTTCCTTCAAAGTATCGACATCGTTTTTACGGAGCATAAGCCAATTATTTCTATGCAATTGTGTGCATCTACAACTCGGTGTGTACTGACACGAGAAAGTAAAATACACCTCTTCAATTCTATTCTTTGTGATACCTCAAATAATTTACAATACTTTCGTGGGTAATCTGTAAATCCATATAAGTATGTCTGCGGACAAAATATATATCATGTCCGTCACGAGGAGAGGTATTAACACGGAATTATATGATTTCCGGAAACGTTTGCATTCATTCTTCTACATAATGAATGAAATAGATAGATCTCTGTGAAATTTATAGCGGAGATATTCTAAGAAATATTTTGGATTGAAAGCATGCAGCAATCTTATCATTGTGTTGAAGAAGATAACATAATCCAAGAGTTTACTTCTCCACTTAAAATTATATTAACAATTAATCAACTACTTTTATCTTAACATCATAAGTATTTGTTATCTAAATCTTAGTATTGTGCATGGGTTTGATCAGCTTTTCAAAGAATGTTCCACTTGAGTTTAATTTTCTGGATTAACAACGTTACCTAGATAGCAACTACGGATTAGTTGTTTATTCAGCAATCACGTGTGTTTTGTAGGGGTCTGAAGGTGTCATTGGGGAATCTTGATTTAATTCTATATGAAGAATTTTTTTGTTGCACTAGATCAAAATTGACAGTACTTAGATAGGATGGTCAGAGAGTATACAATATTCACGATAACTTAACCCTTCAGTGGTCATGCTGAAAATTGAAACGCGAGTGGGCGCGTGGATAAAAATTGTAATCCATTAAAAATCTTATTAACAATATTTTACGAACAAATCGTCTTTTAATGCAAATATGGACCAATAATAGTATTTAAAACACTGAACAGTTACAAATTACCATTAAATTTATTAGAACGTTGACATATTACAAATTCTATGCATTTTTATTAAGTTAGTGATCAAAATAGCAACAAAACAGCAATTGGATAGGATGCTCAGAGGGAGTACAATGCTCAGGATAAGTTAATCAGATAATTTGTAATTTGGGATATTAGAAGCATATTTTGTATTTGACTATTGTGTACGTATACTCCCAGAAAATGACTGCAATATACTGTTTTGTTGTAATCAATAACTTCAGCAATCATTAGTTTCAAAATACAAAAACAATGTTCCTGCAATTTTGTCGCAATTAATTCTGCCGTCCGCCGTTGCTCTACCACCAATTTTATTAGTTTGATTGGTTAGTGAATCCGGACTCGTTAACTGCTAATTTCAGTAGTCCCGAAAGTAGTGCATGTTGTGATCACGGAGATGGTGGTCCCCTCACTCGATAGCGAGATCCTGCGCGGACCTACACGTCCGATTGGGAGTTTCCCAAACCAGATATCTCCGATCAGGCCAGCCAGGACAAGCTCTAAACGTACATTTCCTGAGATGTGTGGTAGAGCAGTGCATGTAAGTGTATTTGTACGTAAGGGGTGAGGATAGGAAATAGTGTACATGATTCATAGACCGTTTGTTAGGGTTCTGCTCCGGCATTCGCCTGGTGTGTTGCTCGGAGAAACCACGGAAAACTACCGATCAGAGCAGCCGGCCACTAGAATTACCCTTCAGACAGCGATTGAATTCGACCTAGCTGACAAGCTAGTGTCGAAAATCTTACCACCGTCGGGACCGGAACCCTAGAACACCCCGGTCATATGCACTGCAATGACATCAGTTGTTGCCCTGAGCCACCTATGTGTTCCATCCATCCGATGTTCCCCGAGAGCGGAATGGCACTGGTATGAGACTGTTAAAGAGGCGTTACAATCCTACCACACTCCATGCAGAACAAATTCGCCCCGTCATGTTTTTTGGTATCTGTTCCAATCAATCTCGAAATGATAAGTTTAGCTATCTATGCTCTCAACGACTTTGCGCAACACAAAATACAGCTATGGCGAGCGAATAAAACAACTCAGTTTTGCAACTTTTAAACGTTTCGAGTATATCAAGACTTATTTTCTTAGATTATATGAATCAAGGTTTTAAGAAACACCATAGATAAAATATATTCTGGACTGATTTTTTCCATACATAAATGCCACATCTATAAGACAGCAGTCATATACAAAATATAGGAGAATTTAAAATGTGAAATTAATATTTTTGAAGTCCGTGGAAATGTGGTACTTTTCAATATCACCAGAAAATTATTAACAGCAAATAATATTTTTATTACCTTGAAAATTATACGAAAAATATTTCTCTCTTTTTGTAGTTAATAATAATAATAATAATAATAATAATAATAATAATAATACTTTATTTCACTTTTGTGTAAATGTGAAGTCTACAGTAATAATTAATCGGTGTCGTTTCTGACCAAGTGAATTCCTTAACACAAGTTCCATAAGACGTTTTTTTCTGTTAAATAGTTGTAGATGCTGACAAATCCTATGCTATTTGCATTAGTATACCGTTGAGATCCAATTGTCTTCTTTCATTATAATTTGTTCAGACTAATATTAATAATGTCCGATGCCCGCTTCCTTCGTGGTAAACTAATTTTGCTCTGGTCAGCCAGATGTTATAAACAATAATATTTGCCGAAATAAAAATTAGATTGAGATTAATTGTACTTGGTCATTTAACTGAAATTTACAGTAACACCCCGTATTGATGTCATGAAGAAAACAAATAATTATTTGTGATATTAGAAAAAACTCTTTGGCCCTTTTTGTGGTCCAATAGTTGTTACTAAATTTTTCTTAGAAATTTCATTTGAACTAGTATATTTTATTTTTACTGCTAATTTTTCAAGCTTTTAAGTATCATACTAATAATAATGTTTTATGAATTTAATTTACTGAGGGTTCGTTCAGGCTGCCAAATGCTACAGCTTTGTAGAGCTCCATATTTTATTGGAGTATATTGAAAACTAAAAATCGAATGACGGCAGAACGTGTCTGTCCGTCCGTCAACCCGTCTGTCTGTCTGAGAACAACGCTAGAGGCTAAATCGTTCTGCTGATTTTCTCCAAAATTGTATTCCCCAATCATGACCCTTTGAATTTGAAACCGATATTTTAATTTTGGTTGGTATTTTACATCAAGCCCCTGAAAATTTTTCCAAAATGTTGATTAAATATTTTTGTTGGATAGTGTGAAGGAGTTTAAGAGAATAGTGCATGCCTGATATTGGTAAAAAAACCCTAATTTATTGAAAATTACAAAAGTTAAAATTTTTTAGGGGTCTTCCTAAGCTAAAATGTTAAAGATATGAATGTTTTTAATTAATTATTAATGAAATATGTTACTTGAAGATGGATTTTGAAATACGGTTACGTACAATTTGTCTAAAATTTGAGTACATTTGGCGTAACTTTGCGTGAAAACACGGGGGAGTAAGTGAGAGCAAAGCATGTGCTGTTTTAGTACCACTAGTTAATTGTGTTATCGCGGAAGGCCTTGCGAGTCTGCTGGCTAGAAAACCGAGGAGGCCGCAAATATATCGGTGTCTAACGTAAAGGTTAATAACTGTCCTCATGAGGAACATAGTGGAAAAACGGCAACCCTGAAGCTGAACAAAACCCCCTAAAAAACACGATTGTAAGTTAAATGCTCTCGTGGCTCAGTGGCAAAGTCGATTGCTTTTCACCACTGAGGTTCCGGGTTTGATTCCCGTAGAATGCCCGCAGAACTTCATGTGGAATTTGTTACGACACAGCGAGTTTGCATGCTTCACAGGGTTTGTCCAACTCCTGAGAAGTGTCCTAAACCCTACCCCCCAGTCCTAATTCCTACCCAATTCTGGCCGCTGAGTAGTGACGCTATTTGGCGGTCCTCTTGACAAGTGACTGCGAAGCGACGTGACAGATATGACATATCGAAATATTAATGGAGAGTTACTACGCTGATATTAATGGACGAGTACTCCGCAGCGCTCAACTCCTCCCTGCCCCCCGGTGTTTGAGGACGCGTTGCGTCAATTGACGACGCAACAATTAAAAAAAAAAAAATATTCCCGCAGGCACACCATGCTGGCGAGGCGGTTTCTCCTCGCGTCGGCGGCGCTGCTGCTCCTCGCGGTGACAGCGCGAACCTCTCCTGTGCCGGCCGCGGACGCCGCGCCCGCCACGCCCGCCGCGCCCGCCGCGGACGACGAAACGGTGAACTACCGCATCCCGACCAACGTCGTGCCAGAGAACTACCGGCTCGTCATTCGCCCGGAATACCGTACTAACCGCCTGATCGACGTGAAGAAGTTCGACGGCGAGCTCGTCATCACGGCCACCGTCACCGGCTCCGCGGCCAACAAGATCGTCATCCACAAGGCCAACACCATCACCGACCTCCAGATCCTGTGCATTCTCAAACTCAACGACGGTGAGTGACGTGTTCGAATTGTCCAGAACGTTCTCAAACCAATCGCGAACAACTGTGGTCCGGGCTCGTCATCTATTAAAATTGTATCGTTTTGGAACAAGTAGTTCACGAATAGCTGCAAATAGTCGTCAAATAGCTAAATATACTAAAACTATTTTCATAATATTATTCAAAAACTACGTATGTACGTAGTAGATGAGAAAGTAAAAAGTACTGAGGGACTTCTGAATACTAAGATTATTATTTAGATTTTTCTTCAATTCTACACATACTATTTCATCGAACCATTTTATTAAAAAATGAAATAAAAGCCCTCCCCATTTTTATCGGAATGTTCATTATGGCCCTCAAGTAAATGCTAATTTTTCCTATTTGCAGAAACCGGTGCGCCCTTTATAAAACAAAAAAGGCGTTTTAAAAATTCGAATTTATTTTTTGAATGCACCAATATTAAGATTAAAGAAACATATTTAACAGAAAATTGTATCGTTACGTGAATTCTTACAATGCTATTAATTAAACTCTTCGGGGCTGTTACATTTTCATCATGTTTTCGTTCAATTTTTCTTGATCCATTCAGCCGATAAAACCGCTGGTTTTCTAGCACTACAAGTAATATTCTCCGATTTCACATGGAAACGGCAGAACAGTTTAAAAAATGCACACAGGCATGTTTTGACAGAGGACAAACAATAAAAATTGAAGTACGTTGAGACTCCAACTAGTTGGTGCTTGCGGGCTCCTTCGAAATATATCGTGTATTCATTTCTTCCCCACAGATGTTGAAGATAACAAGGATCAGAATGTTGTATCAGGGATCAACAGCTTTTGCTCAGAAGCGGACGGCACCTACGTCACGAGGTCCAGCCAAACTGAAGATGAAGTCACTGAGACCTTAACCATTAACCTGGACGAGGCATCTACCCTGGCGGTGAATCAGAAGATCCGCATTGTCCTTGTGTACGAAGCCGTCTTCCGCGAAGGCGGACTCACGGGATTCTACACCAGCACATACCTCGACGACTCGAAAAGAGAGTGAGTTAGTCAGTCAGCAGGGACGGATCCAATGAGAGGGCTGTCTCCCCTCGAAAGCCAACATTTTTTTCTAAATTTACTCAATTTCTTTATAGAGTAATTACCATACACCGATATCATCACATCAAACGCAGTATTCTCATTATACATTCACTTATTTTTTAATGTAACACTTAAAAAAATATTGGGGTTCGGACTGAAATAGCCTCCCTCTTAAACACTTTCTGGATCTGCCCATGTCTATCAATCAAGAGTTTTCCTTTTTCTGTTGGATGCATTTCATTCGTATTTCTGCCATCCGCTGTTCTTTTTGTCGTCCAGTTGCTTTCATTAACTTATTTACGCTGTTATTTAATACGTGGAATCTCACTCTAGACGGTTGTAATTTTAAAAGGAATACGTTTTTGTTTAGTTCTTCATATTCATATTTTATTTCTTATCTTTAAGATTTGTTACCTGAAGAACGCATATTTTGATTGTCGAATTGTGAAATGTGAATAGTTTTATGTAAATTTTATATATTACATTAAGTTACATATTAAATTAACAGCGTGTACAGATTTATTTTAGTGTGTATAAAGTTATTGGTAGTTAATAAAATAATAAATAGTGTCATTATAATCACTTAGCGAATGCTGAGATGGACCCTTGTTTTTCTTCAGAACATAAATGTAAGTTCACTTTACGCACATTTAGTTCATCTGTTTTTTTCTAGTTGTGACAGGAGTAGAGTGAGTGGTAGGGGTAGCTATTTTCTCATAAACACTAATTACTCAATTTCGTAGTTCGTTTACTGATGCAAATAAATTATCTGTAATACGGGAGCGAAAATATATAATTTCACTCAATTTTATCAGTAACATATTCAACAGCTTGAGTTGTTCATCTGAACTGGTTTTGATAACATGTCATTTTTTTACTTCTATGACATTTTAAAAACATTTTATGATAATTTTATTGATCGTTTCGGAGATGTTTTAGGCTATCAATATCCGCTGCATACTTTTCTTAGACCACTAGGCTGGAATCCAGTTACATTGTAAGAGCACGGGATAACGAGTGAATCTGCTGTTCGTAGAGTCGCCATGTTGACTACCAAGTTTGAGCCGACGTACGCGCGCCAGGCGTTTCCCTGCTTCGACGAACCAGCCCTCAAGGCCACGTTCGACCTCATCGTGCAGAACGTGACAGGCGTCCACGTCATCTCCAACATGGAACACGCATGGAGGTAGGCAAGAAACCCCATTATGCAGCCGCATCCGCCGATCTGCATGGCCGAGGTGGCTAAGAGCGTGCACCGACTCAGCCCTTCGGTCCGAAGGGTCGCGGAATCGAGTCCCGCCCCCGGGCATCGTTGTTTGCACTTTGTCTCTCGTGTATGAGTTGCCTCGGAGGGCCCGGCGATCTGCTGAGCCCAGATCAGAGGAGACCACAAGTGTGTTGGTGTTTCATGTGTGGTCGATCCGTAGGAAAATATAGAGCGGTTGACATTAAGTAATTGATTGATTATTTCGTGATTCCTGACTCGTCAACTGTTATGGTAATTATTCCAGTAATTAGTGCGTATTTTTATCACAGAAAGTTGGTTGCCGACCCTTTTGTAAACTAGCAGCGATCGGCAGAGGGAATGGAGCCGTCTTGGCGCGTTCCTGCAGCTGTTAGTTTGCCGGCTCCGAGATTGTTCTCTAGCGCATAAGAAATCTTCTCATGTGGAAATATACGACTACTTCCTGCCAAGTTCTTTCTGACTAGAATTAAGGAATGACTGACGCGTCTGATGAAAAAGTCGAATGACCGTATGACTGTATGACTGGTGACTGTCACTTGGTGACAACGCGCCCGGAATCATCAAATCAATCAATCAAAGGATCACACCCACAGGTACACCGCTAATGCCGCAACCTCTCCCATCTACTACGTGGCGTTCCACCGCACTCCCAAGATGTCCACGTATCTCCTGGCGTTCATCTTGTACGAGGAAGCCTCCTTCACGAAGACGGACCAAGTGTTGCGCCCCGGCAACCCCGTGCCGTACAGCACGTGGGGCCGCAGACGCATGCTGGAGGAGGACAGCGCCGGCCAGCTCAGCCAGGTGGAAGGCCCCGCGGCCATCGACTTCCTCGAGCGCTACACGGGCATCAAGTACAACGCCACCATGACCAAGATGGACATGGCCGCCATCCCGGACTTCGCGTCCGGCGCCATGGAAAACTGGGCGCTCGTCACCTACCGCGAGGTGTCGCTGCTCTACAATCAGAAGGTCAGTCGTCGCTTGCCTGGCCGTTCATCATATTTCATTCTCTGTTTGGGTTCTTATTCTTCTAGAAAGTCTATGCTCCACGCCCCCGATCAAGGACGGGGATTACGAAACTGTAAAGAACGGTTGAAATATTAAGATAGATAATATAGTAGAACGATGGGCAAAGAGAAAGGAAAAAGGAGAGGTTCGGCGTAAAAGGAAGGTAGTATGAAAAAGTATAGCTTTTTAAATTTTATAATTCAATTTTATTTATTATTATACTATTATTTCAGTGGTGTCTTGACCACGGGCAAACCGAATTACACTTAGTAGCTGCAGCAGAGGGATTTTACACTCCCCGAGGCGGGCCCTTAGCGTTTATGTCTGTCCTCTCCTCCTTCGGGTTGCGCTAAATCACCGATCAGGTATCCGATTGCACTAAGACGCAACAAACATCCGGTTGCACTAACGCACGTTGCTTATGTTTGTACTAAGGCAGGTTACGCATCCGGTATCCATGTTTAAAAACGTAGACGGATTCTGATCAATGTTTTATTGACATCGGTGTATTAATTTTGAATATTAATAATCGGTAACGTCGATGGTTTGTTATCGATGTTGCGTCACAAACTGGCACCACCAATACTATTCCGTTCCTGCCGCCGCGAGCAGTTACTAACGACCTTAGTAGTTGGCGCGTTCGGAATCGCTAATTAACCTTCCTGCCTCCGCCTGCAGACGGGCACCACCACCAACTACAAGCGCGTGCTGGACGTGGTGGCGCACGAGCTGGTGCACATGTGGTTCGGCAACCTGGTGACGACGCAGTGGTGGAGCAGCATCTGGCTGAACGAGGGCTTCGCGCGCTACCTGCAGTACCTGGTGGTGCACGAGCGCTACCCGAACTGGCGCATGCTGGAGCGCTTCGTGCTGGACGAGCAGATGGGCGTGTTCGGGGTGGACGCCGACGAGGGCGCCGCCCCCATCACCGACGACACCGTGCTCAGCCCCACGCAGATCGGCAACCACTTCAGCACCATCTCCTACAGCAAGGGTGCGTCAGCAGCCCCCCGCTCACTCGCTTGGCGCCGGCTGCTCTGATCGGGCAAATTCAGCCGCTGTTTGAGTGGAATCCTAGCGGTAGCTTTGCGTGGTTTCTCCGATCAATGCTAGGCGAATGTCGGAGTACTACCCTAAAAAACAGGACACGGACCACGCGTAATCTCACCTTCCTCTTGTTTATGCTGTCGTCACCCTTTACACACACACACTCACACGCACTACACTACCACTCACGTACGGCGAACGGTCAGTAACTCAGAGCTTATGCCAGCGGGGGCGAAGCCTCTCTGGAGAGACACCCACAGGAGAATTTCTGGCAAGTCGACATATTTTCATGCAATACTATTATTTATAATTACAACACACGTCGTAGAAATCACATTCATCAAGTGTCAGTATCAAAAGTTCACTATCAGGAATTGACATACAATACATGAACGTTACTTTACAACGCATTGACAGATGACATTAAACAATTGAAGTCGGCATACAAATTTAACTTAAAAGTAAAATATTTTCTGCTGCATAACTGTTTACATACTATTAGAGACTATACTGATTATCAAAAAGAAAAATAATGTTTATTTTTGCAAAACGGTGATATATAATGAATTAGTTCACTTTTATATTGTATATTTTTTTAAAAGACCAAATATGTTTGTAACAAATAATGTACTTTAGCTTTCGGGTCAATAACCCCTATCTCGATCAGGTTTTTATCCAGTTTCCCTGATACATTGAGCAAATGCTGAGATGGTCCCTTGTTTTGCTTTTGGACGTAAATGTAACTTCACTACGCGCACGTTTTGTTGATTTCTCTTTTTGCTTGTAAAGGTAAGAGTGGAGGAAAGGGCGAGATACTATTTTGTGAGCAATGCAGAAAAATCATATCTGCAATTCGTTTACCGATGCAAGTGAGTTTTGTATAACTCGGAACAAAAATGTCTATTTTTTTAAAAATATTGCAAATCCCGTTTTTTAATTTTCTTTTTATTTATTTATCTTCAACGTTCACTCATCTTTCAACTATTTATTGTTAAAATAATGGAAAAGGATTTTGGAACTCAAGAAAATGTGCGCAGATTATCTTCTTCTCCATACACATACAGTTTTTACTGTTTTTGACTAAATAAATCAAAATATCTAAATCTAAATCAAGGTCGGCGCCGGATATCACAATCCTGCAGCAGAAAAACATCGCAATTACCCGGAATAAAATATCTACTACACTGGCGGGACTAACGGGTGTAGCATTTTAAGCACTCGGAAAGCATTAATCAGTCTTTGACCATGCTAGAACGTGCACCTGCCAAACACTAGTGCGTAATGAGTTGCTTACCAATCACAGGCGCTAAATTCAAAATTACATTTGTGCTTCTCCATTTAATGAGAATTGCCACAACAAGCTCAGTGGCAAAAAAAAGATGATCATCGACACCCTGAACGGACTAGAAGTAACGTTAGTAACCATTCTGAGACATTCGTAATAATGAAATAATATTTGCTTAGCATACGAGTGTTTTTCATGTATGTATATATCACTCCCTAAAACTTACACTGTTTTATACATCCTACATATTTCGGGAAAGTACTCAATTGCAAACATTGTGTTGCACAGAAGTATAGTAATAATGTGCCCATGTTGTCACAGGTGGAGCAATTCTGCGGCAGATCCGCAACGTCATGGGCGAGGAAAACTTCATAGCTGGTGTCCAAGCCTATTTGAAAGCTAGGTAAGTGACTGAAAAATTAATACGGACATGGTTGTGTGAAGACAACCATATCGAACAGGAATGACCTTCTTAACAATATTTTCTCAGGAACATAGCACTACTTCCTTCTTTGTAGAAAAATAGATGCATTCACAGAAAGGATGCATGCTAAAATAACGAAATCATATCTTCACTGATAAATAAAAGAAAGCAAATATGAGATTAGCGACGCTGGTCGCTAGAGAGAGGTGATTGCACACCTGTTGATTTGATCAATTAGCTTCTTTTATTCATTCTTTTTTCATTAGCTCCTGATCCCCCTGCAGTCAACAGGGAAATAAATCCCTGCGTACTCTTATCCTCCTTTCCCTTAGAAAGGGAAGGCTTTTTATTCAACATTACAGTTCAAATAGGAATCACATTTTTGGATACCGTTCAACATGTAAGAAACTCAAATCATGAGCATAATATTTGGCAACGTGCTGGAGAAACGACTAAGTAACATGCATTTCGTAAAACAATAAAAAAAAAAGAAATGAAAAAAAACTCACTTGGGAAATAAGATCTTCAATTACCACTACGAGTCAAGACCTGAAACTGGCCTAGAAAAGTAGGAAACTGAGTAGGTATTTTCAGTCCTCCACCAGTGCTACAACTAAAATTCTGGCCTTTCCCTACGCGAAATACTCGGACAAAAACATATTGGACGGCCATAGCAGCGTGTAAACTGGGATTCCCAAGCTTTTTATTTGATTCCCTTGTAAAAGAATGTTTTTTATCGAACCTCTTGATGTTTTCTATTATATCCAGCTTTTAACACAATTACAACTCAAATAATTGCATATTAATGACTTCAAAACAATTAGCAAAATAGTATGAACAAAAAAAACAATTATAAGTATTTTAGTTATTATTTTTACAATTTTAATTTTACTTATTTAAATATAATTATATATTAGATGTTTTTAAGTTTTATATAATAAAACAATTGATTATCAACAATAGTATTTTTATTATATTTATCAATCGCCTATGAATATTCCGCTTTCGATGACCTCTTTATCGCCATTAATCCTTTAAAATCGACACCGACCCTGTCTGTAAAAGATCCTCAAGCTTAAATGACGCCTCTGAGCCAAATTCAAATCACCTGTTTCTCGCCCAAGAAATACCTCCGTTCTCTGCTAGTTGATGAACGGAGTGTAGCGAAATTTGCGTGGTCAGACGGAAGAGTGGGCCTGATGGCCCGAGTCTCGCCACGTAAAATGAGGTAAATTCAATTCAAATCAATTCAATTCAATTCTGTAGTCACCGGCGTAAAACATGCTTTTGTGTTCCTGGTCCTTAGGTACTTGGCCGATGCCACGCCAGACCACCTCTTCGACGAGCTGGTCAAGGTGAATAAGGAAGAGGTGACCAAGCTCAACAACGACCAGCTGAAGGCGGCGCTGACGGCGTGGAGCGAGACGGCGGGCTACCCGGTCATCACGGTCACCCGGGAAGGCAACTCGTTCAACGTGTCGCAGGTACGACATACATCTCCATGGTCCGGTCCTTCAGTCGAATACCGGAGTTTAATACGAATTGTTAACCAAGGTTTTCGGTAGGACTTGGTGCAATGGACTTAAATACACACTGACAGTTAAATGAACCTCGTGACACATCTTAATTAATCACAAAAAGCAAGAATACAACACATTTCTACGTGAAAGTCTAGGAAGAGAAAGATACTCTGTACCCCGAAGGTCTTACCCGATGTTTATCTGATGTTTAACCGATGTTTATCCGATGTTTATCCGATGTTTACCCGATGTTTACCCGATGTTTACCCGATGTTCACCCGATGTTTACCCGATGTTATCATACAAATTTATTTTTCTTGACTGGTCCGAAAGAGCGAATCACGTGCGTAGCTCATTACGCAAAGGCGCGAGGGGTGGACAATTATCTAGAAAGGAGAGTGCCCCGGGTGAGGAAGACCAAATCGTTCTGGAAGGGTTCAGAAGAACAATAAAATAACAATAAACTCTCTGGAAAGTATTTATATTGTGGCTCTGGAATAAATACGCGACAGTTTGTGCTATCGAGAAGAGTTAAAAAGGCGCACATCAACACTTGAAAGAAACACGATACGGCAATAGAATGGACCATCTCGGTTCACATCTATCTGTGGCTTGGTACAAGAAGGGCCAATATCAATAATTAAAGTTTTAAACAATTGGTGGTATTCTTACACCATAGAAATGACAAAACAATCGTAGGCCACAGTAAAGATTGATAGCTAACCTAAGAGATAGGAATTTTGACTTTAACCTTTCTTGTACTATAGAAGGTACATTTACGCATTCGCCATACATACCGAAACTAAAAATTGACAACGATCTATTTTTCACCAAGCCACAGATATTATCTGCCTTGTATCTATGCGCAAGACTAACTAAGATGTACAAACTCTCTTTAATGAATTTATGAAGTGGAGATATCCGGGTTTGCCAACACTGAGTGTCTCAGAAAAAGTGTTACAAACTTGTAGGGTTAGGAATTGAAAATGATAATGTTTTGCCAATGAACATAACGTGGGAAATTTCATTTAAGGGTGTTACACATGTAACATATATCTCTTTGTATTTTATTTTAAATTTAGATCAAATATTGCTTTGCTATGAGACAATATCGTTTTGTATGAGAGACATGTCAGGACTATTTGCAGCGCATTGGAACACAGACTGATTTTCGATCTTCAGATATTCCATCTTCGTTTCCTATTGTTGCATGGAGCCTAGTCACACTCGATTACGCATAGATTTTTTCCAAACCACTGATTTATTTGAAGGAATCATTGTTTGTTTAGGCTCTCAAGGTAATGGCCTCATTATACCATTCAGTAATTAATACATTTCCAGTTCAATTAACAGACATTACACTTCAAACAATTACATTTGTGTAATGCTTTCCAGGATAAATTATAATCCATTAAGTCAAGAAACAAATATTTTGTCTAATAATTCGCTCAGTTCTATAAGTTTCCTTGCACGAGTGCTGAGAAAGAAGTGATTTCGTTATGAAGAACGGCTTCTAGGATGGGACGTGCTCTGTGCCAAGAAAGCGGCGATGTGTTTTGCAGGAGCGGTTCCTGCTGACCGGAACCGAGAGTTCGCCCTCGACGTATCCGGTGTATCTGACGTACTACTCCAGAGCCAACGAGACGGTACCCACGGAGCCGGTACCTCCGCAGAGGTGGCTAAGGGTTGAAGACAGCTCCATCGTCTTCGAAATTGAAAACATTTCCAGCAGCGACTGGGTGCTCTTCAACGTCTTCCAGGGCGGTGAGTACGAGCCATTTGAGTCCTCCGATCAAATCCATTTCAATCTCAAATATTTCAAAGGCTGCTTCTCACAGTCTCGAGGTACCCCATTTTGTCAACTTTTCAAGAGACCCCTTTGCAGAAGACGCCACATTATGCATTCACTGCTTGTCTGGCAATGTCTGAACGTGCCATTTGCAACGCGCCTTTCAGATCACGCATTTTGGAACGCTCCTTTTGGGAAACTCTTTTCGAACGTGGCTTTCGGAACTCTCCTTTCAGAACGCTTCATTCGCGTTTTAGAAATCGTGATTCCTAATGAAAATATTGCAACGATTATCGGAAATCACTTTTTGCAACCAGCTTTCCGAAACCTCACTTTTGAATTTTTCCAATTCTAACGCGTGATTTCAAAAACCCTTTTTAAACACCCCATTCAGAACGATTCTTTCACAATACACCTTCTGTATCGCACATTGTACCGTCCAATAAAGACCACCCATATCAGGAGAGGCCGCTCAGAGCATCAACTGATGATCACAGCAGTGTTTCTAAACGGAAGGTCCTGGATTGGAGTCCCGAAGTTGGCAGTATTTTCGACACTAGCTACTTAACTGGATCAAATTCAGTCGCTGTGTAAAGGAGAATGGCAGCGATCGGCTGCTCTGATCGGTAGTTTTCTGTGGTTTATCCGATCACCAGGCGAATGCCGGAGCATACCCTCCCAAAAGGGCCACGGACCGCGCGCGATATTTCCTTCCCATTCTTTGTTCTATTTTACTTCTTACACAGTCTTACACTAACATGCACTACACTACCACACATGGCGGAAACCAGTCGGGAGTTTAGAGCTTGTCCCAACTGGGGCAGTGTCCCAATGGTGGGAGATACCTGTTTAGGAAAAAACCCGCTAACTGACAATAGGTCGGCACCGGATCTCTCCATTCAACGGAGAAAGTGCACAGCCAAATCCGAGGGAAAACATGCGGTACGGTTGACGCGCCCGAAATCCCAACAACCGCCCAATTCTACCGGATCTCTCCATTCAGCGGAGAAAGTGCACCGCCAAACCCGACGGAAAACATGCACTACACTTACGGTTGACGCGCCAAGAATCCCAACAACTGCGCGATTCGATCCACGCGCCCGAGGCCTCCCGCAGCCCGCTTGAAGCCGCGGCGCGTGCGCAGGCTACTACCGCGTCAACTACGACGAGGCGTCGTGGGAGCGGCTGGGCGCGGCGCTGGACGGCGGGCCCGAGGCGCTGGCGCGCGTGGCGCCGCTGGACCGCGCGGCCGTCGTGGACAACGCGCTGGCCCTCGCGCGCGCGGGCCGCCTGCCCTACAAGCGCGCGTTCGCCCTGCTGCGCTTCCTGCGCCACGACACGGCCTTCGAGCCCTGGGCGGCGGCGCGCGCCGCGCTCGCGCACCTGCAGCGCATGGTCGGCGACCAGCCCAAGTTCCAGGTACGGAACGGCGCGCCTGCCCCCCCTTCATTCAATTCATGTCATTTCGTTTCCTTTCAATCGGAGCAAAGACATTTTTTTTCCGGTTTCGAGTTGACACTGGGAAACTGTTCTTGAAATATAAATTCAACCTTCCATTTAGTAGCGGAACTAGGCGGCCCGGCAGGTGCAATTACCGTGGGCCCCTCAAAAACAAATTTTTCGTTTTGTCTAACTGAACACACTTTCGTGTTGTCTTACTGAAAGCGATTTGCTTATTGCCATAAATTGACCAGTGTAAAGTTTGAATTACGTATTTTATTATGAGGATGCAAAGAGGTTTCGAAATTTGTAATTTGACATCCCGGGCTTCAATTTTTTTTGGCTTTATTTATTTTTTTGAGGGGGGCTAATCTGGGTTTCATTGTTTGTGAATTGAAAAAAGACAACATATCATTAGAATGTAAAGGAAGGCTCGAAATCAAAGGATTCAAAGTGATCATTCTCTGGGACCCCCTCTAAACATTACAAATAATAGTCCATAGGGAGTAAAGTGACAAACTCGTTAAATGTTTAGATAAGTTCGTCAAAGCGAACGTCCTCAATGCACGAATCGGAATTGTGTGATTGGTTATGATTAATAAAGTTTCTTTCACAGTTTTCAGCACGATTTTTTTTGACAAAATTTTTTGATGGGGGTCTAAATATAGGTTTTGAACCAGGTTTTCGGATGGGTTAGTTACGCATCTGGTTCCATTCACAAACGTTCGTTGTCTGTGGCATCTGTAGAGTGTCCTTTTACTATTAATGTTAAGAAACAAAATTCCTATGTCCAGAACATAGAACCTTTCTGCTTGCTCTTCAAAGTTTGAAGCTCCTCAATATCGAACGTATTTGTTTTCTCTGATTCATTTATTTTACTTTTTCTATTTGTTTTATCGGTTTTCATATTAAATGTTTTATAAAAAAACTAGTGATAAAGGCACAGAATGTACTTTCTCGCCCTATTTTCACGCAAAATTACGTAAAACGTACTCAAACTTTCGAAACGTACTCAAACTTTCTAATTTCTATGCTAAAATATAAAACATTATTTGTTATTTGATGATGATAACCACGCTTTGCAAAGTCATGAAATAAATAATTTGTTAAATAAAAAAGCGAATATAATTTGATTGTCAAAAATACGAAAAACGTATAATTTTATTAAGCCTACTTCAAGCCACATTCACATTTTCCCTTTTGCTTTCTCACGCTTACTTCGTAAGAAGAGTAATTGTAAGAGAATTGTGATTGTCCGCCATAAATGTCGAATTTTCGACAGAAAAACTCTTATTGCCGGGCCCTAGTAACGAAAAACTTGATAAATGTTTATGCTTTAGTTTAGTAAATTATTAATTAGATCGCTGGTGATGTAGATACCTTCTATTATTTACGAATGATAAATAAAAGATGTTGTCTGGTATCAACACTTTTTTGGGCCCGGAACTTTGTTTTTGGCAAAACTTTGTTTTCAACCCGGAAGCTGCAAGATCTGAGGATGATCGCTATGCGATCGAAACGATCGTCAGCCAAGTAAATTGTTGATACCAGACATCTTTTATTCATCATTCTTAAATTTAGTAAATTACTTCCTCTAACACGTTGTGTAGTCATAATCCATGTTTTCTGAGTCCTTGATACTGAAAAATCAATTGTGAGTAAAATATATCTGGCCGTGTCTGTTGGTCTGTCTGTGGTGAAAGCTAGCGCCTAAATCATTCAGCAGATTTTCTCCGAAATTGATATTACTCGATCAATTTAAAGGAACTCGAGACCCTGAAAGTTTGAAACTGATATTTGAAAAAAAGTTTCAAAGAAGTTTAAAACGCATTCAAAAACATTTTAAAAAATAGAATTTTCCCCACTTTGTACGTAGATGTGTTGATTTCAAACACTGTCTGGAGGAGAGCTCCAGCGAATGCTATCATCGGTAGTTTTACGAGGTTCCACGACTTACGTAAACTTACTTGCAATACCCTATCGCACGGAGATGAAACCAAAGTGTGTTCGGCTAGGGTGGTGCGCCGCCGGGAAGGATACCTGGAGTAGGAAAATCTCGCAAGGCGACGTGTGGTTGGGCGTCGACTTTAACGTTCCAGTGGAAGAGGAAAACTACCACAATTTTATATCAAACCGAGTTCGATTCCCGGTCGAGTCAAGATTATAGTGTGCGTTTTCCTTGCAATGTCCCAGTATAATGTGACGATGAGAAAATTCACTTCTCTGAGCACGTTCACGGGCTGTCACGCCAGTATATATACATATATGTTGTGGTAGTCTCCCCCTAGAGAGGAAGGGAGAGAACACGCACTCCACTTACCGCAATTGATACCGTGAGACCCCTTGCGTGCTGACCGTTTGAGGGCGCGCGTGTACGCAGAAGTTCGTGTGGTACATCGTGGAGAAAGCGTACAACGCAACGGGCTTCGACGAGGGCCCCTGGGACGCCCACCTGGACAAGGTGCACCGCACCAACGTGCTCTCCCTGGCGTGCAGCTCCGGCTACGAGCCCTGCCTGGCTGAGGCGCGCCGCCGCCTGCTGCAGCACCTCTCCTACTTGCCCCTCGCGTGAGCCATCCCTCACTATTATTATTTATTATTATAATTATTATTATTATAATTATTATTATTATTATCATTATTATTACTATTGTCATTATTATAGTATTATCATTATTATTATTACTGTAGAGTGCTGTTTCTATGGCCATTGTACTCCACAGTTCAGTGATAATATGAGTAGTAATAGTACAGAGTGCGCCAGGAAAGTCTTTCGGCTCTGAGTTGAATCAAAAGCTCCCATCGGAAATTACATTTATGTCAGTAGCAAAAAGATTACTGGGAAACACGTAAAGGGGGCAACACATTCAACTTCTGTTATAATTGTTGTAAGTACCCAACTTGAGTTTTCTTTTCTTACATGCGGCAGCTCGTGCTGCCAACGTAATATTTGTTGCTAGTAGTTTCACCATCCACTTGCTGCCACTACTAGATGACTTTCGTAGCTCACTGTAGTAGTAGTACTAATGTTACTATTAAGTTTAATCCCAATATTAAAAATATCTGGGAAACTGACAAAAAGTATAAATACAATAAATTAAGATTTGAACGCGTGTTATTGTTGGTGAACACAACAATTTATTCTTAAAATACAAAGTTAGAAATAATAAATAAAAAGGTGTTGGACACAGTCTAAAAAGCTTTCAATGTCATTTGAAGGTATGTTGAAATTAATAAGTTAATTATTTTATAAATTAAATAAATAGTAGTGTGAGTTTGTTCTATGCTTGGCCTCATTTTTATTCAATTTTCGAATATGCACATATCCGAATCGACTTGATTACCGTTTAAGTCGGATAGTTGTAGATCCACAGTAAATACTGCAGGAAATACAATTGCAAAATTCAAGTAATTTTTTTTAAACCTCTTGGGACATAATTACAAAACAAGAAGAATTTAAAAAAAATACGCTAGGAAAAATACAATAAATTGAAGTTCTTTAGAATAAGGTGTTTTCACGGAAATTATGTCATCCACGGAAATAATTATCGAAAGTTAAGAAATTAACCAGGGAAATCATTATTGAAACACATGAATATCGAAATCAGATGAAGGTATTGCTGGGCATGGCTTCTGATTCACGATGTTTTGAGACTATTTATAGACAGAAATTTTGGAAAAGATGTGTGGAACATAAAGCACAGAGGATTTTCCTCCTTTGTACGAACTTAAGTAATGTAACTTGGACTATACTGTCCCGATTTCTATGAACAAATTTATTCATTATCTATTTATTTCTTCATTATGTATTCATTTATTTATAACATATTCGTCATTTATTTCTGCATAAGTACTAACCGCTGATTTAATTGTTTATTATATCTATCTATCTATCTATCTGTCTACCAATCTATTTATCTGTATATCTATCTGTCAATCTACCTATCCATCTATCTATCTGTCTCTCTCAATTTCTCTATCATCTATCTACCCATTTATCTATCTGTGTATCTATACATTTATCTACCCATCTATCTATTAATATATCTATCTGTCTGTCTGTTTATTTATCTATCTATTATCTACATTTATTTATTTATTTGTGTAACGCTTGCAGCGTGCCCACCGACCTGGAGAGCGTGGTGTTCTGCTACGGGCTGAAGGGCGACACGGGCTACCTGTGGCAGGAGCTTTGGAACAAGTATGAGGATGCCGACGCCGCTCAGCGCGCCACCCTCGTCACCGCCCTGGGCTGCATCGACCACCGCGACACCCTCAAGGAGTGAGTTCGGCCAACCAGAGACGAGTTCTCCGACGGCGGAGGGGGAGGGGAAGTTCCATCTCACGTATTTTCTTCTTCGGAATGTAATTACGGAAATAATATATTTGGTTTGATGTTTGAGGGAAAATTTATATTTTTGAAAGATCACAAGAAATGTATGATTATTTTTTTCAAAAAATTGATTTATTGGGAAATAAGAAATATACGGAAATTGGAGTGATGGAGCGATTCAAGTTACTGGGGTCTTTCAAGTTATAGACCAATTTGTGTTACGAAGAATTTGGAATTACGAGGGATTTCAAAATAAGGAAAATTCTATTTTCGAATCAGTTTGGGAAAAAGAATAATTTCAGTAATGTATCAATTGCAATTGGAGGGAATTCGTAGCAAGGACGTTTTCGAATTAAGAGTGCAGTTCGAATAATGGATCAATTCAGTCTACTGGCATTTCTAGAAAAAGACGATTTTCCAGTGCAGACGAATTTTAGTTCTCGAGGTTCTTATTGAATGGAACCTTTGATTCACTCGTCTACCTTCATGCGCTGCAGCGCCTCTGACCGGGAGAACCTGACGACACAAACCAGATAGCTAGGCCGAGTTCTGACGCTGTCTAGAGGAGAATTCTAGCGGCTGGCTGCTCTGATCGGTAGTTTCCCGTGGTTTCTCCGATCAACACCAGGCAAATGCAGGAGCAGTACCCTAACAAACGGGCCACGTACCGCGCGCGATCTCACCTTCCCCTTCCTCGTCCTATCCTCACCCCCCACTTACACTAACATACACTACACTACCACACATGCCGAGAGACCAGTCGGGAGCATAGCGCTTGTCCCGGCTGCGGCGGTGCCCGGCTGGTTGGAGATGCCTGGTTGGGGAAAACCCCGCTACCCCGATGGTAGATCTCGCCATCCAGCGAGGGACGATCTCCGCCACCTCCCGAGCAAAAACCATACACTACACTTACGGGACCAGCGCTATTGGCAGTTGACGCCCCTACAATCACAATCAATCAATCAATCAATCAATCCGTGTTGATGGCCTAACGACGCGTGCGCAGGTTCCTGCAGAAGTCGCTGGACGGGGACGTGCGCCGGCAGGACGCCTACACCGTCTTCACGTCCGTGGCCGCCAACCCCAAGGGCGCCGAGGTCGCCCTCGACTTCCTCACCTTCTGGGGCTACGAGAAGCTCGAACAGTGGTAAGCCCCGCCCCGCGCCTCGCTGCACGCACGCGTTCGGCGGCTTTTGGCACGGGGTTAACTATGGATTGAATACGCCGTTCTTTCAAAACTTGCCTGCGGACCCACGGGATGAAGTTATGTGTTTCTTAGAAATGGAGATCACGGGATTTTGTCGGAGCAAATAAAAACAATTAAATCATTTAATTTGCCAACGTTTCGGAATATTTTCATTCCATCATCGGAGCTGGTGATAAACATAAACAGCACTGTAAATATTCATAAGGCACTTACAAATAATCCACTGAAAATTTGCGCCCATGAAAATCGAACCTTTGTAAATTAGAATCTGTGATTTTCTTTCTGAAAAGTTGTGAAATTAAAAATGATAATGACATAAAAATAATGAAATATTTCATGAAAGGAATTAAAAAAATTTTTGTCTAATTGTTGTCTTTAGGTATTTATGTGAAATGATTCTTGTTACTATGTTTAAGCTTTTTATTATAACAAAAATAGAAAGGGCACAATTAAGCTAATTATTCTTTTAAAAGTGTCGATGCAAGAAAATTTTCGGCTGCTTTAGATGCAAAGCGCGCAACAATGCGGCCAACATTATGAGACCGTGAGTCAATCAATCAATCACTGATGCTATGTCAGTCAATCAATCAATGATGAGTCTCAGGCCACCAGGCCTACTCTTCCGTCTGACCACACAAATTTTGCTAAGCTCCTTTCGTCGTATAGCAGAGTGGTCCAAGAAACAGGCGATTTCCGTTGAGTTTATAGGCTTCTTTTACATGCAGTAAATCTACAACATGGGACATTCGACTTTACTTTCGTTTCAAAGGATCGCTCACAAACAAATTTTGTTCCCTTAATCCACAGCTTGGATCAGCTTTGAACCCGCGAACATGGTACAGCAATCCGATAGGTAACCGCTACACGTAAAAATCTTCCGTGCATGGCAAGCAGTCGCCAGTAGGTACGTCACTTTCGTTGTTTCCTTAGGGTTTCTGCTTTTTGAACGAAGAAGTGTTCTCCTTCCGCGACGAACTGGCGGTGTGGCCGCATGCAACCAACCTTTCGTCACACGCGTCGCCTTTTTTTTATTAAACTTACTATTTTGTCAGAGCAATATTTCACACAGACTTCGTTTCATTTCGTGACGCAGAAGACATTCAGAAGTCCAAAAACAATTTTCGAACCAACTATATTAAAACTTTTTTTCACTCAACGAATTGTCGTTCTCCGTATCTGTATTATGGGATCAAGGTGCGATTTTTTTTGATTCGTTGATGAGTTCGATAGTGTACAAACGAGGCAAAAATGAAGCCATCGTGTTAGAGACCAGAAGCTCTAATCCACTGTGTTCCGGTTGCAGGTACGGCGTAGTTCGAAACGCTATGACGACCGTCATCTCAGGGCTGTCCAACCGCCTCACTACGCAGGCGCAGAAGGACCAGGTGAGACGCTCAGCCGAGCATCGCTTTCATCATTAGCATTGTCATCAACATAATCATAATTAGGGGGCGAATTTTGATAACCTAAACCACTTCCAAAGATTATCAATAAAATGCTTTAAAATGCCCTAAAAACAAAGAAAAAAGACGTGACGTTTCATCAAAACCACTTCAGATGAACAAATCAAGGTGTTGGGTTAGTTACTGATGTGATCGAGGCTACTTCATTTTGTTCAAGTGAACTCGGCTTGCAAACTTTGTTGTTTTTTTTCTTTAAAATATCTTTCATTATCGCGAATTCAGTAGAAATTGCAATACAGAATCGTTAGATTACATAGTACTCACAACAGCTGACATTACAATATACGAGCGAAGAAATCGAAAAAGCTACTCAAGAATTCTGTCGTGAACATTTGTTGCATCTCGAAAATATTGTTTGAAACCATTAAAATGATATTCAAGTCGATGAAGTCAGCAAAAAAGCAGTACAAATTACGTTAATACGTGAAAAATGTCTTATTAGTCGAAATCGACAAAAAATGCAAAACAAAATGTACCGAAATGGGACATTTCGTTTCGCCTTAAAATAAAATGAATTCCTATATTAAACGGCATTGTTCTAAAGTGAAAAGAACAAAATGACATTTGATTGAAATCCGCCCACAAATCAGCATCATAAATCAGCAACAATCACTCGTGCCTACTTTGAGACTGATATGAACTGAAAGCCTACACTGATGCTGAGGATTCTCTTGTCAGCAATAAATTAATTATGATACGCTTGTTTCGCAATGTACTTCTCGACTGAAAGTAGGCTTACCGACACAGTGCTATCAGAGCAAAACGCGAGTAAGATTATCCTGCCGAAAGTATACCCGTGGCCTTATGGCTACGGGCACCGGGTTGCCCCCTACTTCAATATCTGTCACTATGAATCAATCGTGACGGGATTAATTACTGCATAACTGATATGTGATGAAGATGGAAATACTCGGAATTTATTATGATGGTGATGATGATGATGATGAGACTATGTTCACGAATTCATGCGACTAATCCTTTGTATCAATCTGTTGTTTTTTATTTAACTTGGAATGAATAATTTTGTTAGTTAATCAAGAATAGTATCGATATTAAACATTTCCTCGGATTACCGATGACAGGAGATATTTACAATTTGCTCTCGCTGTCAGCGGAAATGATCATGTTATGAAATAAAGTAATGTAAATTGTAGCAAAGAAAGCTGAGAATCTCAACTTCTGACTAAATTCTCAAATTAATTTGGGTTATTTGTAGAATTAATATGTACAAATAACCGCGTTTGTCTCACGCTCTAAGACCATGCAGTGGTGTAATCACTTCATTTCTTTCGTTTAATTCCATTTGATTCGTTTAATTCCATTTGATTCGTGTAATTCCATTTCATTCGTTAAATTCCATTTCATTCTTTTAATACCATTTCATTCGTTTAATTTCATTTCATTCGTTTAACTCCATTTCATTCGTTTAATTCCATGTCATTCGTTTAAATCCATTTCATTCGTTTAATTCCATTTCATTCGTTTAATTGCATTTCATTCGTTTAATTGCATTTCATTCGTTTAATTCCATTTCATTCGTTTAATTCCATGTCATTCGTTTAATTGCCTTAATTCCATCCCCTCTCGCAGCTGGAGGTGGCCGTGGAGCCGTACAAGAGCCGCCACCAGGGCCACCTGAAGACGGTGCAGAGCAACATCGAGTGGCTGCGCGACCACCAGCTGCCGGTGCTCGAGAACCTGGAGGAGGCACAGGAGTACAAGTGGAGCAGCGGCGGCCCCGCGCCCGCCGCCGCCGCCTCCGCCCTCCTCCTGCTCGCCGCCGCCACGTTGGCGCTGCTCCGCTAGCCCCTCCCCCTCCTTCCCCTCTCCGCGCCCGCACTTCCCCTCCCACGGGCACAGCGAGCTCACCGCGGCACTGCACGTGAAAAACCAAAAACCGACATTCAGTGTTTGGAGTTGCGTAAAACGGCAATCTTTTCTGAGAGTTTTGGGCTTTTGGCGCAGGGAGCTGTGAGAAATTTATTTACTATTCATGAAAACGGAAATGTTTAATACTAATAATTAAACATTTCAACTAATTTATATTTAAACATTAGGCACGTGTGGTAGGAAATAGTGAATACCATTAATCTTTTTTATCTACATTAGATTTTCTTGAATGTGATTTCATTAAAAAACAAGACGTAATTGAGAAATATTACAACGTGGAAGTTGAATATCACAACGTTGGAACAAACTTTTAAAACTTCTTTTAAAAGTTCTAAAGGAATTTCCATTCAACCGATCTACTGCAACGCTTTTAAAGACAGACACATGAGAAGCTGTGAATTCAACATCATCTCTTACCAAAAAATGTTACAAATTTCTAAAAAAGCAAGCAGTTTTTGTGCTTTAAATTCGATATTACTTCTTTTGAATGTTACGATGACTAGGTGTTTACTCGCATACCAAATTATATTTTCGAACTTTTGTAGTAAGATTCAGGATTTGGTTTAATTTTTTTACACAAATTCCCAATTTCACGGAAAGCAATTTCGTTCAAACATAGAAGTGCCTGGGGAGATATTTCCAACTTCCCCACATCCTCATTGGTTTAAAAATATCTCATTCGAGATATCATCATATTAGCGATTCGTTAGAACTCAATTTGTTAACAATGTCCTTTGTCAATTATTAAATTTTATTATAAATGTCACTTTTAGTTGTAGTCTATATTTAAGTGTGAAATGCAAAGAGAAGTTCTCTTTCAACATTTCAAAATGAAATTAAAAATATTTTCTGACGACTTACTTGTATACATTTACATGATTCTTCGAAGTTCGTTAGGTTTTGCTCAATACTTGTTGTACTCAAAAGTAGATTTTCCCAGAAAAAATGCAGAAAACACTGTTGACATGTATCTCGCTGCTTAAAAATTGCAAACATTTCATATCTCTGAAAGTGAATCGTCATTTGCAAAGTATTTACAAACTTGAGATCGGGGAACTTCTGTAAAAGGTAGTGCACTTTTTAACATTTATTTTCTCCCTGCTCGGTATTTCTGCCTTTAAGTGGTTGGTACATTTCTGAAATGGTTCAAGAATGAGGTTCAATGAAAATATTAGATTTCGAAGGCACTTTCGCATTATAAATATTTTAAATTTGATTTTCGAAATCATTTTCAGACTTGTGACTAAAATACAAGTATTTTCTAAAACGCATTATTTGATGTAATTAAATAATAGTTATTATTAATTTTTATAAGAAATGGTTGTGCTTAATTGTTATTTTCTCTCTTTTACTTCATTACTGTATTCGTTGTTTACAGATACATTACATGCGTATCATTCCAGATTTAAAATCCTATGTAAACAGTATCTTGTAAAGATCTTGTATAATTAAAGAAAATAATAAATTAACTATTGTTGCTTATATGCAGCGAATATACGATCTATATATTCTCACCTATCATAACACTTTATCTACAATTTTAATTTAGATTTTCATAAGAATGTATGACAAGAGAGTTCAGATCAGTATCAATTTTCTAGGGAAAAAAGTAACAAGAAAGTAACAGTAAAATCAAAAGAAGATAATTTCGTTAACTTCGTCTCTAGAAAATTTCGAATAACCTTCAGCAGCAAAAAGCAGAATTCATTTAAATCTATTTCAAACAAAAATGTAATATAACAACTTACGAAGTTGCTAGGTACCCCTGAATGTTTAGAGACTCACCTGAAACAAAAAAAGAAAGAAAAATTAGCTCTATGCAAGACAAGCATAGCTCTTCACACTTTTGTACTTCACTAATCAGTTGCCAATGTCGTATCAGTACTGAAATTGTCAAAATAAGAATGTTTTCACAATCAATATTCCTGAAAATTAAGTCTTACACATATGAGACGCACATAATACATTTCTAGGCTTATCCCAAGTGAGATTTACCATTTGGGTAGATATACCACTACGTAGGAGGACCGGATCAGTTACCTCATAGACAACATTACCGTTGTCTCTAGAGACTCGGAACCTGAGGTTCCACGGTTCGACTACCCAGCGGTGGCAGATTCGCCACAATAGTTACGTAGTTAGGAATACGAGTAATTGAACAAGTGTCCGGAGGAGAGCTCTGCCGGCTGGCTGCTCTGATCGGTAGTTTCCCGAGTTATTGTTTTTTTTTCGATCAACAGCTTGCGGATGACGAAGGAGAACCGTAATAATTGGGACACGGACCGCACGCGATCTTTCCTTCCTCTTCCGTGTTTCCTCATCTCCTCTTAGACTTTCACACTTCGTTGCATGACCTTCCACACAAATCGGGTGATGAGTCGTAAGTTTAGACCTGGTCACGTGTGGGTCTGAGACCCATTAAGAGAAGTGCTTGGAGGGGGAAATCAGGGTATGCCAGGGCGTATCTCAACGTTGGATCTTACCATCCAGTACTGGAGGAACACCCCCACCCCTCGCAGCAAAAAATATTACACTAAAATTGACCAATGCAGTCGAACTGTCCGGAAATATCGCTCGGAGTTTTCGCAAAATATTGCAATACCCAAAATATTTTATATAAGTGTTTATATAAAATTTGTATAATCATAATACCCATTAACTTTTTATTATACCTACACCTAATTATTATACCCTTAACTTTTTAAATAGGCTTGTGGCAGCTCTGGGTCAGTGTGCTCCCTTTCCACTACGCGGCCCCGGGTTCGATTCCCGGTCGAGGCAAGATTATAGTGTGCGTTTTCCTTGCAATGTCCCAGAATATGTTTCTGTGTGACGATGATAAAATTCACTTCTCAAGGGGAGAAAATAATACGGCGTGGGGATGTTTACGTGATAACCACACGTACCCCCTTAACCCATGGCCGCGAGGCAGGGACATCGCCGGTAGGCCTGAGCCCGTTTACGGGCTGTCGCGCCAAGTGCATACATACATACATACATACATACATAACTTTTCAAATAAGTGTTTTAAAGTAGACAATATAAGTTTTTTTGGCATTGCGAACTATGGGGGGAGGCACAATGTAATGAAACGTCAAAAAAGGTCTCATATGTGTGTTAGTATATATGGAGAACATAACTCGTGTGTGCTTCAAAAATGGTCTCATATGTGTGTTAAGAAATAGAGAACATAACTCGTCTGTGCTTCGAAACAGGATAACCTCGTTTTAAGGATCTAGGGAGCATTGAGATATGGGCGAAGGTAAATTGCTTTGCAACTTAATGTGCGTTGGGAGTAGCATTTACGCCTCATTTCCATCTACGCCATAAATAGCAAATTTCTCATTTCGTACCTAAGCTGTTTAATGCAGGGCTGAGAGTAATTCCTTATCTAGCAATAGCACACATATGGGGTTTTGTGAATATGGTTTCTTTTAAAATGTAAAAATTCTGTTACTTTCCTTGGCGTAGTTATATTATTATACCTTTAATATGTAAATGCAAATATTACGTAACCAATAATAAAATGAGAAAAACAGTGCTGCTGTACACCACTAATTTACATTATAATTGAACAGAAAATAAATTATTATTACTTTCTTTAAAAATATACAAAGATGTAATTGTACAAGATTTATATTTACTTCGACTTATGAGATGATAAATCCATGGATGGTTTTCACTTCTGCATTAGATAGATGAGCTCTTTGAAACGTTAATACAGTAGGTTGTAGAGAGTTATTGAAAAAACAACAACATTGTATCCTTCTTTTAGTAAAGTTGTTTCGTTCGTTGTTTAGTGAAGTTCATTTTGTTATAATGTTTTAAGCTGTCTTTGAAATTATTAATACCGATGGGGTTGTTCAAAAATAACAAGCGAACGTCTTGAAAACACTGTTTTGCAGTAATGTTCATTCGAAAGCAAACATATATCCTACTGATTTTAATATTTTAGGAATGAGAAATCTAGAAATATTTTAGATAATGAGAAATAATTTCGCAAATCTAGAAGAGTAAGAGGTAATGTACTTTCAGTCTAAACCTTTGTAAATATCTGCCCTGCCCCCTCCCATGATATTGTCGAGTATTAAATGAGAGATAAAGTATCTACCAACTTGAGATAGGGAGATAGGTGAGCTATCTCTAGCGAGTCATCTGTTGTCGCCAATGACGCCCCACCACTCACTGGCCAGATAAATCAAACGAGGGCATTTAGAAGTAGCATTCAGAACGTGCGTACCAAAACCAACCTTCGATCTTTATAACTGAGAGCTCCAAATTGATTGCATGAACAACTGTGGCGTGAGAAGTTTCCATTCTGGACCAGATAAGACAGAAGATGAGGATTCACGGAGGTGACCGACATTGATAATAATCAAGTGCTCCTCACTAGAGAATTCTCAGCCAGGTGAGATATTTTCCGAAAACGAAGAATAAATTCTCGCAGCTGTCAGGCTATTTTGAGTGAATCATTCGAAAATTTCAGCCAAGCGCACTAGGCGAAGTGCTAAAACAGAACATACTCATATTATTGGTAACGGTTACATTACCAACGGTTTACTCGTATTAATGATCACATTATAATATTGCATCGCCTATCTTATTAACACTTCAGCCATCACTTGAAAATCTCCAAACCAAACACGGCGAGCGAGTTAGAAAAATATATCTCCAAAAGTTTTACTTTCTCGTATACTTATTTGAAAATAAACTTTTATTCCTATTCAATGGTTTAGGGGAAAAAACTGGAATTACCTCAATTTGATCTCAAATTTTCAGTCGTAAAATCAGCGACCTTGACGCGCTCGGAATCATCTATCAATCAACTTTTAAATGATGGCCTGGCCTTTTTTTAAAACAGTATAGTTGTTGAGTAATAACTAGCTATACGATGTGGAGGGAAAATGTTTTGAATG